TATATACAACAACTGCACGATGACCAGGAGGAAGAAGAAGAATGGATATCTGGTGATGAAGATACAGAAGAAGAAGTTGCCTATCAAGAAAATACTGATTCTGATAGCGATTAAATGTATAGTTAACAACCAATGTAATTACTTTTAATTGAACTATTTTAATTTGAATTTTTAACTTTCTTTCGTCATTATTATATTATTCCAAGATATAATAGTTAGGTATGTAATTCGCAACTATCATTTCTAAACAAAATAATTATTCCATATTATATTGTAAAATAGCGATTAATTAATTAATAAAATTAAGTTTTTAAAATTATTCAATTGAAAATTAGTGGTTCATTATTATCGATTCGTAAATTTAAAATTAATTAGGTAATTTCGAAAATCGAAAATTAAATAATTCGAAATTTAACATTATTTAAAATTCGGAAATTAGTTTTTTAACATTATTTGTTATTAGTTTTTTAACATTACAAAATTTTAATAATTCGAAATTTAATAAACAAGAACATGAATTTATTTATTAAATTTAAAAACTAAGTAGAAAACACACAATCTTTTATCATTTATTACATTCAACAACTCACAATACAGATAAACAAATAAACACAATATTATTCATTAGCGTCAAAACTTTCATCTAGAGGCCTGTCAAGTAGCTCGTTAATTCTTTCTGCAGCTTCCGCGTTTATAGGTATCATATACTCCGAACATTGTTCTGCACGTAAAAGTGCCCTACGCAAGTTTTTCCCTCGTGAAACGTTGTATGAGTCCGATTCATAGTCTATAATATCGCCAAAGCTTTCAAGCGGTCTACTCATCAGCTCACGGATGCTTTGAACTGCTTCTGCATTTCGAGGCTTCATCAACTGTGTAACTTGTTTTAATCTTTGTACACTTCTACTGATCAACTTCCACACATCTGGTTCTGGATTAGCCATTTTTTCGCACCGAAAAAATGGGACTCTAAGCACATATTTATACTTAAATTTGTCACGGATAGGTCCGTGACAATTAAAGTAGCCGACGCCTCGTCTGATTAAGGCTGAAAAAGCTTTAATATTCCCTGCACCGGTTTGTCACGGATTCATCCGTGACAAATCCGTGACAAAATTCAAAAATTTGAATTTTGTCACGGATTTGTCACGGATGAATCCGTGACAAACCGGTCAACCTGCCGTTCTGCCGCCTCGTCTGCCGTTCCCTGCCGCCTCGACTGCTGTTCCGCAGTTTACAAGTTCCGATAACTTTGTCACGGATTAATCCGTGACAAATTTCAAATTTAAAAATCCGTAATTAATTTCTCACGGGCTTTGTCACGGACGGGTCCGTGACAACCCCTAATATATAAACGACACTTAGCCATTTTTTTTCTCTTACGCTTCCCAATTCCTTCAGCAACCCTAAACGCCTCCCACTACTCCCTTACGCCTTCCGACACCCGCCCACCGCCACCCTCCCAAACGCCTCCCACTCCGCCGCCCTGCTGCCTCTCTTACACCCGCCGACCGCCACCCTCCCAAACGCCTCCCACTCCGCTGCCCTTCTGCCTCTCTTACACCCGTCGACCGCCGCCGCACACATCTCACCGGTCACCGCGGATTATCTCCACCCCTGCCGCCGTTCTTCGAAGCCGGCCTTCTCTTCTTTCCCTTTCATTTCTTGCCTTCTTCTCCGAGGTTATGTTTCTAACTCTTTAATTTCCGAATATTTTAGAATAAATGTTTTAAAATGCCAAAAAGTAAATGCATGTTTTTCTTAATATTCTTTAATTGTTTAATTTAATGTGTATATGTTAATAAGTTATCATGCATTGAATATGTGTATATGTTTAATGTTTACATGTTTCCGAATATTAATATGCATGCTCGAAATTTTATGGCATGTTTTTAATTATTTAATGCATGTTTTTCTTAATATACATGCATGTTTCTATGTTTTTCATAATATTCATATGCATGCTCGTAAATTTATTTATTTAATGCATGTTTTTCTTAATATTGTTTTAATGTTTATATGTTTCCGAATATTCATATGCATGCTCGTAATTTTATTGCATTTTTTTAATTATAGTCGGATTACACGGATATAATGCATGTTTTCCGAATATTCATATCCGAATAGTCGTAATTTCCATATAAGGCATGTTTTTCTTAATATTCATGCATGTTTAAATGTTCTTCTTCATATTCATATGTGAGGTTAGATTTAACGTTTCATAATATGTGTATCATTTGTGTATATGCTTTAAATATGCCTTAGATATTGTTAATTTAAGAATGCCTGCTTTAGAATAGTTAATTATTAAATTTTCAGTCAAGGTTATTTTGAGTTTTTGTTAATTTCGGATATTTATTAAGAATAATAATTTCAACTCCATTAATTTTCGCCCCCTCATGTTACACTTTCAAAAAAGTTAACATGTCTAACCCAACAAAATAATGAAACTGTTAATTATTTTTTTTATAATATTTCGGATATTATATTATTTTTTTAATATTATAAAACACTTTAAAAAATTTTGGATCATTTAACTGATTTTTAAATAATTTCGGATATTATAATATTTTATTTTAAATAAAATGTTGTTTCATAAATAACATAAAACAGAAATGAAGTAAAAAAATGTATTTTATATATTAAAATAGAAATAAAAAACCAAACAAACTGTTTTTGTTTATATAATACGAAAATGATTTCATATGTTTCATGAAAAATTGATTTTATGGGTTTCATGAATAAACAAAAAATGAAACTGATTTTTAAATTTTTTTGAAAAAATTGATTTTATAGATTTTAAAAATCAGGTCACTAAATTTGTCACGGACTGTCACGGATTTTATGGGTTTCATAAAAAAAATTTTGTTTTTAAAAAATTTAAACTTTTGTCACGGACTGTTCCGTGACAAAATATAAATTCACGCTAAATTAACGTTTTTTTTTTTAAAAAAAAATGTTTTGTCACGGATGGGATCCGTGACAAATTCAAAATTTTGAATTTTTTGAAAATTTTAAAGCTCCCGCTCACTCTATTTTAAAATTTTCAATTTTTTTTCAAAATATTTTGTCACGGATATGTCCGTGACAAAATTTAAAATTTGAATTTTCCCGACCGTTTCAAATACCCGCCCACTCTATTTTGAAAAACGTTTTTAAAATTTGTCACGGATCATTCCGTGACAAGTAATTATTTTTTTTTTTTTGAAAAATAAAAACATTTATTCACGGATGCGTCCGTGACAAATGAAAGGCGATGGGATTCCGGTGAAGTGTTTTGTCACGGACCGTGGCCGTGACAAATCCGTGACAAACAATCTCACGGATTAATTTCCGTGACAAAAACGTTATCACGCCCCTGGTGTCACGGATGGGATCCGTGACAAATCCGTGACAAAAAATCATTTGTCACGGATTTTTTGAACTACCGTCCGTGACAAAATCCGTGACAAACGACGTGTTTTTTTGTAGTGTATGCTAGGAGGTTTTCACAGCCGACTGCACGACCATAATCAATCACGGTGTCACTGGGTCAGGTCCGGGACGCACCCTTCCCTGGAAGAAGTTTTGACCGATCAAGAGCTTGTGGGGGCAGATTCAGGGAGAGCAGGGATACTTAAGGGCGGTTCTAGAAAGAATTTCAATGATGTACTTGAATGGCAACCTGAAGCTCATCTCAATAATATTAAAATCTAATGACCGCGGTAGGATTTACTTTAAAAGTGTTTTACTATGTGTCTTTAATTTATTTGTTTGTTTTTTGTGACAACTTCGGTACTCATTTTTTAATGAGGTACCGTACCTACCATTTATTTGATTGGTCCAAATCATTATATTATTTTTAATTTAGATTTGAATAATTCAATTGCATCATTCTGTTTGGTCCATGTAGACAGGGGCGTAGCTACCCTTTAGGATAGGGGGCTTGACCCCCCAACTTTTTATTTTTTTAAAAAATAATCAGTAGTTAATGTTCAATATACTTATTTGTATATTTGTTGTAGGAGTAATTAAATGTTAATAATATTATCATAATGTTCTCTTTTGAAGTGACACATAGTACTAATTATGATTGATAGATATATAATCTTAAATTTATCATTTATTAATTGTTATTATATTAAACTATTCAATTTATAAGACTTTTTAAAGCTTGAAGTGTTGGGGTAAATGGTATGAAACTGTATATAAATGGGAGAAATAAGTTTGATCAAATCTAATGAATTTAATCTTATATGTCTATTTGCATAGTTAAAGAATAATATAATTAAGTATGTAAGCAAATTTAATAGTATCAGTCATATTTAATTTCCTTTGAAATCTGTGAGGCAAAACCAAACAAAAAAATCATTTTCTTTCTCTAAACATTAATTATCCACACATAAAGTAAAAAATGATTTTTGAAAATTAAACATTCAGTATAATATATATTAAGACATTAATACATTGTTTTGTTTTAGTTGTCCCGCAAGGTCTCAAACATTTCAAATTAACGATCAATTTTAATATAATACTCCCTCCGTCCCTTAAAACTTTGACAAGTTTGACTGGTACGGGGATTAATAAAGTAAAAACTGTGTGGTAGAGGTTTGTACAGAGGAGAGATAATTGATTGTAGCCACAAATTCTTTACTTAAGATAGAAAGTGACAAAGTTAGTGGGACATCCAAAAAAAGAGAGTTGACAAAGTTTTAAGGGACGGAGGAAGTATGTTTGTGTATTCATACATTTTCGTTCTGGTCCACCCCCTCTAGTGAAATCCTGGCTCCACCCCTGTACTTTAAGGGTACCATAGAATTTACCTTTGTTTTTTGTATACATGCACATTCTAAATCTATCTATATTTTTTATCGTTTTTCCACTCAAAAAGGTCACATCTAATACAATCAAAGATAGAACTATAGAAAAGACATACAACTATCTGTATGTTAAAAGTGTGCAGGTCCCCAGATGAGAACCACTTCGTCAAAGTCTTGCTGGATGTCATCAGCTCCACCTAACAGCATGTGGTACAAGCACGGACCGCGCCAAGTATTTGGGCCATTTTCCCAGGGCGGCGCTGGGCTGCCTAAATGGTGATTTCCCTGAGTGACTACGAATGTGAACCGAGAGGCTAGAGGTGATCCACAACAAGTGGGCGATGCTCGAGGTGCTGGGCTGCATCTTCCCGGAGCTGTTCGCCCGGAAAATGGTGAAGTTTGCAGAGGTGGTGTGTATCAAGACCACAACGGTGGGGCCCAGACCTTCATCCAATTAAAGGAGGCCCGAGTCATCTTGATAGGAGCCATGCTATGTTGAAAGTGATCAAACTTAGTCATACATGGCTGCAAAGATTTGCATGATTGCATGCATACGTAGCATTTGGTTTATTTGTTTATTAGTTATTCATTTATTATTATTTGAATAAGTCTAAGTATTGTTTCCTACTGTTTAGGAGTCATGGTTGCTTAGTTGCTTAAGTTGTTATGCACGTTTCAATGTGGCTATTTATTAGGAAGTTGTTATTCTTCATTTGTGGCTATCCATTCATGTAATTCGGCTATAAAGCCTAGTTTTTTGATCAATGAATATGTGAGCTTGTGATTTCCCTTCTACTGCCTTTTTCTTTGTGTATTTCAATCTCCTAAATTTGGTATCAGAGCCAGTGTTAGATCAGTCCGTTATACACAAAAGAAATCAAAGAAAAACACCCAAATATGCAAAGCTCACCAAATGGAAATTCAGTAAATCAATTACCCTTGTTCAAAGGGATTAATTATCACTTTTGGAGCCTGAAAATGAAGACCCTCTTAAAGTCACAAGAACTTTGGAGTATGGTGGAGGAAGGGTTTGCTGATGATCAACCTGAGGAGCCTGATCAAGCCCTTCAAGAGAAAAGGAAAAAAGATGCCAAAGCCTTTTTTCTCATTCAACAAGCTCTAGATGATGATGTTTTCCACGCATTGCTGCAACCTCTACCTCAAAGGAAGCCCGGAGTATTCTAAAGCGAGAATACTTAGGTGACAAGAAGGTGATCATGGTCAGGTTGCAGTCTCTAAGGAGAGAAATGGAGAATACACGCATGATGGACAAGGAGTCAATGCAGGACTATCTATCTAGGATTACATCTGTGGTTCAGCAGATGAAGTCCTATGGAGAAGAAATAAAACCTCAGCAGGTTGTAAGCAAAGTGATGAGAAGTCTTACATCCAAATATGGCCAACTTGTGTGTGCTATTGAAGAGGCTAAAGATCTGGAAACATACACATTTGAAGAGCTCCAGGGATCTCTTTAGGCCTATGAAGAAAGAAGCAATAGTGAGGCTGAAAAGGGTGAAGAACAAGCTTTTTAGGCCCAGAATGAATCACCCGGTGATCAAGCCTTTCAGTTTCCAAGCGGTGGAAGAGGAAGAGGTAGAGGAGGCTTCAGAGGTGGTCATGGTGGAAGAGGCAGAGGAAGAAGTTCCTCTAGTCATGGAGGTAGACAAGTGTGACACCCAAAAAAAAAATGATAAAGTGAGATGTGAAATTATTGTTTAAACATACAAATCAGATTACATTAACGCACACTTCTATTGCTTGATTTGTAACGTAGCCTTCTTTGAGTAAGTGAGTGCTTCGGGGACGAAGCATCATTTTAAGGGGGGTAGAATGTGATACTCCGAAAATTTTATTAAAGTAAAATAGTTAATGTTACTTGTTAATTTCATTTTTTTAACATATGACAAAGTAACATTTTTGGTGAGCTAAAATTATGACTTAAATAATAAAAATGACATTTTAATTATTAAGTGAGTCAAACATAAATTCAACAGTCATGATATTCTAATTAGATAAAATTTCAAAATTTACGACGTTTCAGTCAGATAAAAATATTTCAATAATAGAAACAACATTTTATTAAATAAGTAAACCAGACAAAAAGTAAACATTTGTGACTCATTTAGCCTGATAAAAATGGTCCGACAATAAAAGTGACATTTTTAATAATAAATGATAACGTAAGAAGTATCTAATTAATAACGCACTTAGTGCAAAACTTGACTTTTTTATTACACTCCGTATTCAATACTACGACGGAATGACTTTGCTATTTTCCATATGTGAACCATGCGTAGTAATCTTAATAAGGAAATCTCCATTAATGCCAAAAACTATGAATAGTCTAGAATTCTCCTTCAAAGGGTAAATCCATATTTGTACGTAGCACACACATGCGTGTAAACGATACGAATACACTAACGGCTGATTAAATGACGGAAATTAATTGTATGTCCTAGAACCTTCGTGGGTGAGTATAAATACCCTGCAAACCCTACCTAAATGACATCCGATTAAAGGATATACGTAGTACACACTCGCCGTAGATCGAAGAGAACGAACGGGCGAGCTTTAGTTTGCTATAACTACGAAGGAGAGGTCTTGAAGGAAAAGCCGGGACCAACGTTGGATGTCGCCGCCAAGCTGCAGAGTCACCGAAGTCGGATTGTGCCGCCAGCTCACAACGTCCTGCCCTTCTCTTCGTTCTCAGCGTCGCCGGAGGAAGAAGATAGCCGCCGGAGTTCCGTACACAAGTGCTGGAAGAGTGGGTCAGACTGTTTCTTCGCCATAAAAAAAAAACATTCATACTTTACGTACAGGGGAAGGAGGGATGGCGTGGCTTTGACGCCGCCTGAATACCTCGCCATGCTGCGTCGTCTCTGGATGTCTCGCCGTCGCCACAAGGAGTAGCCGCCGACCATCTTTGACGCCGCCTGAATCATCCCTGCGTCGCAGGTACTGCTAGACGATCGACAAGGAAGGCAAGTACATAGACTATCCTGCTTCTTTATTCTACGGGCCGAGTGTTAAGCAAACTATTGTACTCCGTAATACGTAGGATAATAGTTTGTGCTGGGATTGCTATAGTAGTCTGGACCACCGTATGGTTAATAACAACACTAATAGTTAATACCCCCTAATACTTGATACTAATAATAGTAAAAGTAATAACAATACTAAAACTAATAATAATAATAATAATAATAATAATAATAATGATAACAATAACGTAGCTTGTAATAAAATGAAGTGAAGATGGTTATGAAAACAAAAATGATATCAATTCTCTACTATTATAGAAATCAGTTAATGTTGAACCGATATATTAATCATGATAGGGGAAATTTCTAAACAAAGGGTAAAAGATTTTAACTATAAGTTGATAGGATATTGATTTTTGAATCTTAATAGAAGGTAAATTGAGGAAGGAGCAAGTTAGAAGAATTTCGCTAGAAGTAATCGGAGTTTGAGGTAAGTTTCTCTGCCAATCTAAAATTATTTCCTCGTATTATATGCTTATTATGCATTATGTGAATAAGTGTGAATTGTTGAATTTTGTGTATGAGATTTGTGAAGAGATATTATATATATGGTAGTTGAGAAATATAAATTAAGTACTTTTGGGGTATTAAATATTTTTAAATACCTTCAAGAATTTTTAGAGAAATTAAGAAGTATTTTTGAAGTATTGTTAAGCGAAGATAAAATTTACTTTTTATAAGAAGTGAGCATCTCGGGAGTAATCCGAGGTGTCGGTTTTCCACGTCCGGATAAATGTGGAGGGTGATTAGGTTTGCTACTACTAAGAAGTACAGTTTGAGTTTAAAATGATATTTGGATCGATGATCCCTTTTAAGAAGAAGTTATGGTAGTAGTAATCCCTAATCATTCAAACTATCTTATTCAGGGGTAGTTGGTAGACTGAGTCCCGACTACTCGTTACGACTTACTACTCGGAGGGCTTGGAATCCCTTTTAGGGGGTGTGAACACTTAAGGTAGTCGTTTCGTTTCCAACAGAGCAGTTGTGGTACCGGCACTTGTTCGGGGTGGCCGTCCGTAACCACGGTCCACCGGGCTCTACCAAAAGGTTGAGCACCGCCCTTCTAAATTACTAGGAAGTTAGAGAAGAAGTGATTTTTGAGGAAAGCAAAGGGAAGAGTTATTATGAAGTTTTATAGAGAAGTTGAGGATTTTGTAAAGAAGTAGTCTTGATAAAAATCAAAGTGAAAAGAATTTCGATGGTGGGAGTATTTTTATATATTATTATATAAAAATCTATTTTTGTCAAACATGATTATTTTACGGGGTTGGGTAGTACTTACTTAGCTCTAAAGCTAATTTTTGTTTTGTTTTGTTTTGTTTTGTTTCTGCACTTTACTTGTGCAGGTGAGGATGATGTTGTCGAGTGATGATTGCTTGCATGGCCGAGAGCGAGTTAGAAGTCGCCTTAGTTATACTAGTCATGAAATAAACATTTACTTTTCAAACACTTTACTTTGATTAAATTAGTTGTTATGTTTTAGTTGCCTGTGCATCCGGTTGAGAGATGACAGGATGTGGCGGTAACACCCATTTCCCTTATTAAGACTTCCGCTGTACTTTCTTTAAATTTTCATTATCAATAAATAAAAGTTTTATTTCAATTATATCAACGTTTTGGGTGGGAAATTTGGGGGTGTTACAACAAGGCAGCTCTAAACCTCCTATTAAGTGTTACTATTGTAACAAAAATGGCCACAATGAAGCTGAATGTTGGAAGAAGAATCCAGAGCTAGCTCCCAGAACTACAGAATATAGATCCAATTATGCTGAGCAAGAATAATTGTTTATTGCTCATCATAATCTGGATCATGATAGAGGTGCAGTGTGGTATGTTGATAGTGACTGCTCAAATCATATGACAGGATCCAAGAGTATGTTACAACATATTGATGATACTAAGAAGGGTATTATCATAATAGGTGATGGTAAGCAACTTGAAGTAGAAGGTCTGGGTGTAATCTCAGTACAGACAGAACAAGGAAAGAAGAAGGCCTTGTCCAATGTACAATATGTTCCACACCTAGCTCACAATTTGTTAAGTGTTGGGCAATTAGTGTCAAGAGGTTACTCAGTCTCCTTTGCAAATGGAGAGTGTACAATCAAGGATGGCAGTACAAATGAGGTCTTGTTGAAGGCTGAAATGGGAAGGAACAAGTTGTTTCCCATGGACCTGACATCAACTTGTGGAAATGCTTTGGTGGTCAAGGGAGAAGAAAATGCCAAACTGTGGCATCTAAGGTATGGTCATCTTAAAATGACTAGTTTGCAATTCCTGAGTGCTAGAGGCTTTGTTAAAGGCTTACCTAGCATTGGTAAACTAGAATTGTTTGAAGGATGTATATATGGGAAGCAATCTAGAGGATCTTTTCCGAGTGAAGGTTCATGGAGAGCTAGTGAATGCCTAGAACTACTCCATGCTGATATATGTGGTCCCATGGAAACTGAGTCATTAGGAGGTAGTAGATACTTTCTAATAATCACTGATGACTTCAGTAGAATGTCCTGGGTCTATTTTCAAAAGACTAAGTCTGAAGCTCTTGAAAACTTAAAGAAGTTTAAGGCTTTGGTTGAGAATCAAACTGGACTGTCAGTCAAGGCACTTAGAACTGATAGAGGAGGTGAGTTCAGTTCCAATGCCTTCACCCAATTCTGTGATGAGCATGGCATAAGAAGAGAGTTTACTGCACCCTATACCCCTGAGCAAAATGGGGTAGCTGAGAGGAAGAATAGGATAGTTGTTGAGATGGCAAGGAGTATGCTCAAAGCCAAAAATATGCCTACCAAGTTCTCAGGAGAAGCTGTATCCACAGCAGTATACATTCTCAATATTTGTCAAACTAAAGCAGTTCAGAATTGTACCCCATTTGAAGCATGGAGGAAGAAAAGACCCTTAGTAGGCCATCTAAAGGTGTTTGGATGCATAGCCGACACTCTAGTGCATTTGAGAACAAAGCTGGAAGATAAAGCAGAGAAGTGCATTTTTGTGGGGTACTCAACTCAGTCTAAGGCTTACAGACTATACAACCCTCTTATTGAGAAGATCATCATCAGTAGGAATGTTATTTTTGATGAAGATGCAGTCTGGAATTGGGAGTCTGATTGATGGATAGTCTACCCGGGGGGTATATATCCGAGGGGTTATTGCTGAGAATAACTTAGAGAGAAGTCAGAGCATAAACAAGTAAGAGAGAGAGTGTATTCAGTATGAATGTCGTGGTTTACAACGGGGAAAGGGGGGTGCTATTTATAGTAGCAATAAATGCCGGACAGGGACACGTGTCAAGCATCCATTGGCCGAGAGGTCACCTCATCCGGTTGGCGCTGGCAACCGCATGTGGCCGCATTTAATGCGGCTGTTGGATGGGACGTTGTACAGGGTACGGTGATATGTACGCGCGTGGATAGGAGATCTTGTCGAGTGAGGTGCCTTCGGCTATAGAGCAGTAGCCGAGGGCTCCTCAAACCGTTGAACCCTGGTGCCGAGGGCTCCTGGTGCCGAGGGCTACTGTTCTCGCCGTTTTCTCCCAGTTTCTTAGTTTGCTTGAGAAACCCGTTCTATGAGAGTTTAGAGCCTTCGGCCAGGGGGCCGAAGGCACCCCTGGTGCGTATTGCGGGCTGCTTGGTACTCTGGGCGCTGTGATTTGGGCCTGTTGGGCCTCCTGGGCCTGTTGGGCCTTTACTGGAGTGGTAGAAGTCTGTGGGCCGGGGGTTCCCGGGCCATATACTCCATCAGGAGTCCCTCACTCCTTT